ACACTCTGTCAGTTTAAATCTAGATTAAAGACCCATCTCTTTAACCTGGCTTACACATAACACACTAACACATTTGTAATATTCAAATTTGTTAAAGGATTTTTAGGCTGCATTAAATAGGACAACCAGACCTATTACACCTGTAACACTTCCCATAACACCCGATATACTTGCTACACCGTTAGAAGAATGGCATCTATGCTAATATTAGTCTGTTTCTTTCTTATTCTGAGGTCACCGTAGCCACCAGATCCAGTCTGTATCCAGCCCAGATGGTGGACCAGCACCTTATACAGTGGAGGCCCTGAATGTCAGCAGAGATCAGGACAACTAGATGAGCCCCGGAGACAGATCCCCAGTAAAGACCTTGTCTCCTAGATGGCCACCAGGACAAGACATTCTGGGACATCCCTGGCTTGTGCTCCATAACCCCCATATTTAGTTTTAGCTTGGAGCGAATTTTGTCATGCTTCCTGTTTGTTATCTGTGTGTTCTTCTGTGTCTTGTTCTGTGTTTCAGGATGATCGCACGGATCTGTCTAATGTGCCATGTGAGTACCTAGACCTGAAGGCAGTGTTCAGCAAGTGATTCAGAGGCTGTTAGAGAATGGGCTTTATGTCAACGCGGAGAAATGCGTTTTTCATGCACAGTCTTCCCTTTTTGGGATACATCGTCTCAGCCGAGGGGGTGCGCATGCATTCCGACAAAGTTCAGGCTGTGGTGAATTGGCCAACCCCAGATTCCCGCAAGGCCCTGCAGAGGTTTCTGGGCTTTGCCAATTTTTACCGCCGGTTTATTTGCAATTTCAGCCAGCTAGCCACTCCTTTGACTGCCTTAACCTCCACCAAGGCTCCGTTCAGGTGTTCAAGCGCAGCGGAGGCTGCGGTTACTAAACTGAAAAGCTGCTTTGTTTCAGCTCCCATCCTTGTTGCCCCTGTCGTCCCTATGACGGTGCTATAGACTTATTACCAGGTACGTCTCTGCCTAAAGGCAAGTTATATTCGCTTCCCCCCCCGGAAAGGGAGGCTATGGAGAAATATATTTCTGATTATCTAGCAGCCAAGATCATCCGCCTCTCTTCTTCTCCGGCTGGTGCGGGTTTCTTTTTCGTGAAAAAGAAAGACGGCTCTCTCCGTCCCTGTATTGACTATCGAGGGCTGAACGACATCACGGTGAAGAATACTTACCCTTTACCGTTGATGTCGTTGGCCTAGAATACTTATCCTCTACCGTTGATGTCGTCGGCTTTCGAGCGTTTGCAGGGGGCGTCATTTTTCACGAAATTGGATCTCCGTAACGCTTATCATTTGGTTCGCATAAGAGAGGGGGATGAATGGAAAACCGATTTTAATACCCCCAGGGGACACTTTGAATATCTTGTTCTTCCTTTCGGCCTTTCAAACACTCCCGCGGTATTCCAAGCACTTGTCAATGACAAGTGTTGAGAGATATGGTAGATCAGTTCATTTATGTCTACCTGGATGACATACTGATATTTTCTCACCCTCTCCATGAACATGTTCAGCACGTCAGGCGAGTGCCTCAGAGGCTGTTAAAGAATGGTCTTTATGTGAAGGCGGAGAAATGCGCTTTCCATGCAGTCTGTTCCTTTTTTGGGTTACATCGTGTCGGTCGAGGGAATGCGCATGGATCCGGACAAGATTCAGGCTGTGGTTGATTGGCCAACTCCAGATTCCCGCAAGGCCCTGCAGAGGTTTCTGGGCTTTGCCAATTTTTACCGGCGTTTTATTCGCAATTTCAGCCAGCTAGCCGCCTCTTTGACCAATTTTTACCGCCGGTTTATTTGCAATTTCAGCCAGCTAGCCGCTCCTTTGACTGCCTTAACCTCCACCAAGACTCCGTTCAGGTGTTCAAGCGCACCGGAGGCTGCGGTTACTAAACTGAAAAGCTGCTTTGTTTCAGCTCCCATCCTTATTGCCCCTGATCCGTCCCGGCAGTTTGTGGTGGAGGTTGACGCATCAGAGGTGGGGGCTGACGCAGTTTTATCCCAGCGCTCCTCCGCGGACGGCAAGATGCATCCTTGCACGTATTTTTCTCACCGTTTGTCATTTGTCACCTGCCGAACGTAATTATTATATTGGTAACAGAGAGTTGCTGGCAGTCAAGCTAGCCTTTGAAGAGTGGCGTCATTGGTTGGAGGGTTCGGGGGTTCCTTTTATTGTTTGGACTGACCATAAGAATAAGAATCTTAAATACATCAAGTCCGCCAAAAGATTAAACTCTAGGCAGGCCCGGTGGGCTCTTTTATTCTGTCGTTTTGATTTTTCTATTTCTTACTGTCCGGGTTCTAAAAACATCAAGACAGACGCGTTATCCCGTATTTTTGATCATTCGGAGTGCCCATCTTTTTCCAAGCCCATTGTGCCGCAGAAGCTTTTTGTTTCTGCGGTCACGTGGGAAATCGAGTCGAAGGTCCGCACGGCCTCTCAAGGGGTACCCAGATGCCCACCGGGTCGGTTATTTGTGCCAGAGTGTTTAAGGTCCGAAATTATCCAAAGGGGGTCATTGTTCCAAGGTAGCCTGTCATCCTGGGGTTAATCACACCATGTTAAACAACGGTTCTGGTGGCCATCTATGGCTTGCGACGTTCGTCTTTTTGTTTTGGCTTGCTCGGTCTGTGCTGTTTCTAAGTCTTCCAATCGATCCCCTGCTGGACTCCTTCAGCCGTTGTCAGTTCCTTAGAGACCCTGGTCCCACATTTCGCTAGATTTTGTTTCGGTCTCCCGGCCTCACAGGGAAACACAGTGATTTTGACCGTGGTGGACCGGTTCTCGAAGGCAACTCATTTCATCCCTCTGCCTAAATTACCATCTGCCAGAGAAACAGCGGTTGCTGTCATTGACCACGTTTTTCGCATACATGACCTCCCGATGGACGTGGTCTCTGACAGTGTGCCTCAGTTTGTTTCCAAATTTTGGAGAGTTTTGTCGGTTGCTGGGGGCGACTGTTAGTCTTTCTTCTGAGTTCCATCCCCAGAGTAACGGTCAGACAGAGAGGGCCAACCAAGATTTAGAACGTATGTTGCGATGTTTGGTCTCTCAGAACTCCTCCTCTTGGAGCCAGCAGCTTTCATGGGTTGAGTACGCACATAACTCGTTACCAGTCTCAGCTACGGGCCTATCATTTGAGTGTAGTTTAGGGTACCAGCCACCTGTTTTTCCAAGTATGGAATCCGAAGTCGCGGTCCCCTCTGCCCACGCTTTTGTCCAGAGGTGCCGTCGCACCTGGAGCAGGGCTAGACAGACCCTCCTCCAGGTGGGGGCGCGCACCAAGGCTCAGGTCGATCGCCACCGGTCGAAGCCTCCCGTCTACGTCGTTGGTCAAAAAGTGTGGCTTTCATCTAAAAATATTCCTCTCCGGTCTGTCAGTAATAAGCTTGCTCCCCCCCGGCTGGATCTCGGCTGGAGTTCCCGACTGCTGTTGTCTCTGTCCTTGCTTAATAAACTCTTTATTTTCACTCGCACTTGGATCTTGAGACTCCTCATTGTGACAATTGTAGCAAGGATTTTAAATAAATAAATAGAAAAATACATTTAATAGATAGTGCTAGTAATAACAGTTCAAGTGTAGATGGAAAAGATGCACCTTTAGTAATTTCTTGAATAAATTAAAGCATTTTGTGCCTCTTTGGGTTGGCACTATAATGCGTCGTTCACTTGCAGAACTCAAGCTTCTGGAGGGCACACAAGTCTGTGAATTTAGGTAAAGGGGTGCAGAGCCAGTGGATGTTTTGTAGGCAAACATCAATGCCTTGTATTTGATGTGAGCGCCTATTGATGAACAGAGGTGTGACATGCGCTCTCTTCGGCTCATAAAAAACTAAGCTCACTGCTGCATTCTGGATTAGTAGCAGAGGTTTGATAGAACTAGCTGGAAGACCTGCCCAGAGAACATTACAATAGTCCAGCCTATAGCTAATATTTGCTAAAAACAAAACAAAAAACAAGCTCTTCTGACATATGTCTGCATGATACACTTTGCATGCACTGAAGTTTTGTTCAGAGTACATGTAAAGCACATGTAAATCAAATTCCAAAGTATAGGGTTCAAATAAACAGAATTAAGAATCTGAAATCGAAATGGATTGAGATGTAAATTAGTGCCTGTTAAACATACCTAATGTAGTCAACGTGTAACCTAGTGCTACTTTTGAGTTCTGTCAAATATTTCCTTCAGATGCTGGAATTGACGGGGTGTCTTATTTCGTTAAAGTCCAGCGTGTATGTTGTATCCACATTCTAATTACAGTATGCTGTCCCTTAAAATGAAATATTAGTTAAGCAGGTCATTTCTGGTAGTGATACAAAGAGCAGGCACCAATAAGGAAGTTTCTTTACCTGTTAATGAGTAACAGATGAGTTGTTAATGTTCAGCTCAGCTTATAAGTGTATTATGACAACACTGAGTCACTTTAGAAGGAGGATGCTGTAGAAGAGCAAGATAATCAGCACAAACTGCCAAAGTATCTTTAAAGGATGATGAAGTGTAAAACAGACTGCCTCGAAAAGCCTCTGTCTCTGGCCTTTGAAAAGCTCGGTCGCGTTGTTGGTAGACATCCATGTGTGTTTGTGTTAATACCTTTATATGTAGCTACTGTCCTCGGAGCCGGTTTTATCTTTCTTCAGGAGAGGGAGGCAAATGATATTGAAGACCAGTTCACACCTGTCAATGGACCTGCCAAGCTGGAGAGGGCGATTGTGCTGGAGAATTTCCCACAGTCTGAAGATTTTTCTCAGTTACGGCTTGCGTCTGATGGCACTTATGCTTCTTTGATAATCACAGGCTTGAATGGCAAAAATATATTAACTGAAGAGGCTTTTAATGGCATTTTGGAGTTAGACAGACAAGTGAAAAATATAATGACGGGAAACACTTTTGAAAACCTCTGTGCCAGAACAAAGGGATACTGTATGTCAAATGCAATTTTAGACATTATAAATTACGCGAGAGAAAGGCAACAGACACTGGCTGACCTGCATGAAACTCCCAGAAGCCAGTGGTGATAGTAAAGGTTGTTGCGTTGGTGGCACTTATGATAAAAGCACACGTAAGGAATACGACATGCCAATGGATTCCTTCTTTAAAAATTATTACGGCCCTTTTCTGACGACTGTGTGGGTTAAGATGCTCGTGTGTCTGATCTATGCTGGGTATTTGGCAGTCAGTATCTATGGATGCTTCCAAATACAGGAAGGTCTAGATTTGAAAAATCTAGCAGCAGACGGCTCATATGTAGGTGATTACTATGACGAAGAAGATGAATTCTTCTCTGATTTTGGTCCTAATGTCATGTTAGTAATAAACAATGAGCATTTTCAGTACTGGAGCCCAGCTGCCCGTGAAAGTCTTGACTTGTGTTTGGAAAATTTTCTAAATCTGACAATGGCAGATTCAGGCATTCCACCTATTTCTTGGCTTCATGCATACATGCAGATTGGAATTAATTTAGACAATGAAACACAATTCAAAGGAAAATTAACTTCATTTCTTATTCAGTCTGGTTTTAGCCAAGATGTTAATTTCACTAACAATCAAATTCATGCATCACGTCTGTTCATTCAAACGGTGAAGGTCAGCACGGCAATCGATGAGAAAAACATGCTGAATGCATTTAGATTACTATGACAAAGAAGATGAATTTTTCTCAGATTTTGGTCCTAATGTCATGTTAGTAATAAAAAATGAGCATTTTCAGTACTGGAGCCCAGCTGCTCGTGAAAGTCTTGACTTGTGTTTGGAAAATTTTCTAAATCTGACAATGGCAGATTCAGGCATTCCACCCATTTCTTGGCTTCATGCATACATGCAGATTGGACAGAATGCTGGTTTTGATTTAGACAATGAAACACAATTCAAAGGAAAATTAACTTCATTTCTTATTCAGTCTGGTTTTAGCCAAGATGTTAATTTCACTAACGATCAAATTCATGCATCACGTGTGTTCATTCAAACGGTGAACGTCAGCACGGCAATCGATGAGAAAAACATGCTGAATGCATTTAGAGAAACTGCAGACAAATGTGGGGAGTTGCAGATGCCCGTTGATCTGATCGTGTACCACCCCGCGTTCATCTATTTCGACCAATATGCTGTCATCATCAGTAATACAGTCCAAAACATAGTGGTCGCTACATGTGCCATGTTAGTCATTTCGCTCCTGCTGATCCCGAACCCTCTCTGCTCTGTCTGGGTGACATTTGCCATCGCATCAGTCATTGTGGGCGTGGCCGGTTTCATGGCATTGTGGGATGTCAGTTTAGACTCTGTGTCTATGATTAATCTTGTTATCTGTATCGGGTTTTCTGTGGACTTCTCTGCTCACATATCCTACGCTTTTGTGTCAAGTGAAAAATCCTCTGCGAATGAGAAAGCCACGGATGCCATCCATAAACTGGGCTATCCGATTGTTCAGGGTGCCGTGTCCACTATAGCAGGTGTGGTGGTGCTCGCAGCTGCTAAAAGCGACATATTCAGGACCTTCTTCAAAATCATGTTCTTGGTCATTCTTTTCGGGGCCGTCCATGGCGTTGTGTTCTTACCTGTGTTCCTGACTTTCCTTGCTTGTAGTAAGAGTCGCGTAAAAAATAAACAAAATCTCCCAGAGCACAGTGACACAAGTGAGCAGAGAGTAAAAGCAGTCTTGAGTCCCACCGGGCAACAGATGAATGTGTGTGCTGATCCGGACTGTTACTGAGCTTACTGTTCTGAAATTATTAATCAAGGTTTTGATTAATTTCTATTTAATTTCTAAATATACTATTGTGCTCCAGTTTCCCCCACAATCTACATGTGAATTGAGACTGAATTGTCCGTATGTGTGTGTGTGTGTGTGTGTGTGTGTGTGTGTGTTTTCACCCTGTGGTGAACTTGCCATCCATCCTGACTGTTTTCCAGCCTACGGCCCGAGACACTGGGACAGGCGGAGCCGGCAACCGCACATAGGACACACGCTTTACAAACTGGATGGATGAACTTTTTCTTTTTGTATGAGCTTAGCTTTATATGATTCTGAATTAGCAGTCATTCTGTTATGTTCATATGTATACACTGCATCTTACATGGGTTTTTTATTTTGTATTTTAATCAAGTTTATCTTTTTTATTATATTCATCAATATGATTTTCAATGCAGTTATTTAATATTCACATCTATGTATTTTAACAGCTTTGCATTTGTAATCCAGTTACATTTTAAATACATTGATTAAAGCACATTATTGAACATTATTGGCTTTTTATTTTTCTTTAAAAGAGCTTGATCTCAGTGAGGGACACAGAATATGCACAAATGTATAATGGCTCTGCTGCTCTGTTCTCTCTGGATGTCATGATAGACGTGAGCAGAGGCAAAGTTTCCTCGTCCTCATCAATGCCTCATGGTTCCCAATCAAGGTGGAAATATGAGGAAACCAAATGAATGAAGCACTAATGTAAATCAGCTCTGTTCTGCCTGGAGAAGTGCCATCACCAAGCATTTGTTTGGGAACAAATCTATTCTGTGTCTTAAGGACTGTGCATCAATGTTACATTTGTTTGTTGCAAATTTACAGACAGAGGTCCTATATTTTATTAGTGGCCTACAGAACATTCTCAAAACAACATAAGTGGACAGTTAAAAAGGGCTTATTCAAAAAAAAAAAATAAAAAAAGTTATTCCAAATGGTACCATAAAATAACCGGGTAACTGCAGGATTTTTTAAAATCAGATTTAAGAGCTTTAAAGGGATAGTTCACCCAAAAATGAAAATGT